AGATAACTCTGTAACCTTTGGCAGCCAAACCTAATATTTGTTTAAAAAAATATCAGCAGTACCACAGACAGGTGGAAGACATATAAGCGGGCACTTAATAGTTTTTGGATTCGAGTCGTACACCTTCCATCCCTGAAATAATCACAGAGCGATTTCAAGACATTCCTTTGTTTATTTTTGTATTGAAATACTTATCTAGAATTATAAGGCCACTTTGCAACTTGGTGTAAATCAATGAAAAAGCAAAAAAAATAGTAAACAATTAAAGACCAAATGATCGTGTGACCGATGATAGAACGATACCTTAGTGCCATCGGCGTCGACAACGATCTTCCTGAGCGGTACGGAACTGCGAAAGCTTAGATATTCCTGAGAGCGTGACAGCTCGCTCGAGTACGAAGACATATTTTTGTTTTCGCTCACGACGCCAGTCGGTACGTCGCGCCGCGTTATCGTCCCTCGACGACGGTCGCACGAAGCGTTTTTCTCGATACCCGAGGAGGGAATACATTAATTATGATAATATAGCTTGCATCACGAACACATCGCTGTGATGTTCACGTTCGCAGCTAGCGACGATTTGAGCGTGATGATTCTTAATTTTTTTTTTTTTTTTTTTTCTACGACGACGTTAGCGAACGATCGGAATGACAGATGAATCCGAGATCGTAATCTCCTCTGGCGCCAGCAACACTCGTCCATGATCCTTGATTTTATCGTCTGACATCGTTCGATTTGTAACCCCTTTTGGGAACAAAATTGGAACCCGAGCGAATTTGTATGTTATGATATGTCCTCGTGTATCCACTTTCCCTATTTCCACCATGTTCCGAGACATAACCATTTCTGAACACAGGTGCTGTTTTAACTACCGAGTAGCGCAGATCTTCTTTCCGTCGCCAACGGAAAGAAAAATTTGAGGATAAATATACGCGTGACAATCAGCTGTAACAAACAATTCATTCCGACGTTCTATATGTGCCATTAGCCACTTGCGCCTGTGCACGATTTTCTGCATAAATTCTGTAAAAGTATTCAATTTTTTCTTCTGGTTATCAAATAAAAATGCGAGATTGTTTAGACGATCTAACATGACAGACGAAAGTATAATGTGCAGCTATATATTTCAGTAATATTTAAAAAGATTTTTTTTTTATGTTTTAAATCTTTTTGATATAGATGGGTTTGTTGCAAATTGTAATATTTCATAACTGACTTTATAGTTAAAAAGATTTTTTGAAATAATTACTTTTATCGTGATATACTATTAACTTTTCATGTTTAAAAAGCGATTAATTAAATCTAAGTTATATGCTCATTATTCTACGTTTAATTCAATTATTTATTTGCATCAATCCGATAATTAAAAGAATGAGTCATTATTAGAACGATAAGTGTTTTCTAAAGCACCGATAGATGGCTGAACAATCCTCTTTTCGTAACATTTAACTTGACAAAGAGTAAGATTATGTATAAAAAAGTTAATATTTATTTCTATCAATTAATTTTAATCTTGATTTAATTTATTTTTCATTTATTTTTAGTTCTAAAAATTAAATAGAAATTAAACAGATATTAAAATTAATAGATATTAAAGATCGACATAATTCATCAATGATGTTTCTTCTGTATTAATCTGCACTATCCATAATGCATTGCAAAGTAACAATAATTTTAAATATTTCTTGATTATTGTATTAAAATATATTTGTAGTTTTGTTTATAAAAATAAGATAAAAAATAGAAAGAGATATGAAAGAGATGTGAAAATAACTTTCTATTTCTATTAATAATTCATATTAATAATTATTAATAGAATAATTATTATAGATTATTAATTAGATTATTACAATAATTATTAATTCATATTAATATTCATATTAATAATTCATATTAAATATAAATTATTTACACTTTATATCGTTTCTAAGCTATGAACTTGGACAACAAAATTAGAAATAGTTATCCATATAACGATTACTATTATATAGTAATCTTCAAAAGAATTTGCTAAAGTTCAGTAAAATTCAGTATCATCAATCAAGAAAGATCATATATATCAAGAAAATTAGAATGAAGATTTAATTTTTTATTTTTATTTTTT